AGACACACAGACTCTCAGTTCTCAGAGAGCAGAGAGAGGGAGGGTAGAACCTTCTCCCAGTGTGAGATCCCCAGTGCTTGGCGCGGGGGGAGAGGGAGGGTCCCTCACACACAAGGGAGCTCATCTCTGGTCACGGCTGGCCCCTCTTGATTCTACCTTGGGGCCTCTGGAACTTCTCAGGAGGGCCTTGCAACATTGGAAGGTGGCCGTGTGGCCTCCCCTTCTCTTTTCGTCCAGGATGTACCACCCTTGCTCTTGGGCACTGAGGCACCACGTGGGCATCTGCAGTTGGGTACCAGCTGAGAAGCTTAACGCCTGGCTCCTGGGGCATAGTGGGGATTAGGTATTTGGCCGTGGGGTGTGTGTTTGGGGGGGCGATTTAAATGTCTCTGGAACTTTAAGCTGTTCCAGAAAACACCCAAGCGGCCAGTAAAACCAGGATCTTTCCACTGAAATCCACAAGGGCCATGGGCAAGGCTGTCATTGGCCAGACTCCCAGGTTATCCGATCTTAGACAGGAGGGAGTGAAAACCCCGCCCAACCTCCAGAAGGATGGAGTTGGCACCGGAGACTTCTGCACAACCCCAGGACTGCAGGCCAGGCACTTCGAAGGTCGCAGGAGCGAGGCGGCCCTCCCCACCCGCGCTCCGCTCTGTTGAGGCCTGTGCGTTGAGGGAACTCTCATCGTTATTAGAGTCCGCGGGTGAGAAGCAGACGAAGAACCGGGAGAAGCACCGGCGGCGAAGCGTCTATAGAGTTTACACTTAGGAAACGGGCGTGGAGTCCAGCGCACGGCCCCCAGGCCGCCGGGCCCAGAGCGGGGCATCGTCTCGGAGGGGGCGCACTGGCCCCTGGCCCCGAGCCGCTCGCCAAGCTCCATCCGTTCCCTGAGCAGCACCCAGAAAGGGTGTTCGGTCACAGACAGACATCTGCGGCCATGGCCGAGGCCACAGAGCCGGAGGGGGGCGCCCCGGGTCCGCAGGGGCCGCCCGAGGGCCCGGCGCCGCTGGCGGACGGACCCGGAGAGCCAGGGGCCGCGGGCCTGGCGGCGAACGGGGAGGAGGCGCGGAGGGGGGAGGGGACAGG